GCATGCTAGGCAAGCACTCTACCAGCTGAGCCACATCCCCAAACTGTGTTCTCCTTTTTTGATAATGAGTCTTCCTTAGGGTTTGTTGTTGTTGTTGTTGTTTATTTGTTTGTGTTATTTTTTTTGAGACAGGTTCTCATATAGGACAGACTGGCCTCAAACTTGCTGAGGATGACCTTAAATTCCTGATCATTATGCCTCTACCTTCTAAATTTTGGGGTTATAGGCATATGCTACCATGCCTGGCTTTCTTCAGTTTTCTTTAAGATTGATTTTTATGTGTACTTCTGTGTATCCGTGTATGGGGATGTGCACATGAGAGCAGGTGCCTTTTAAGGTCAGAGGCATGGGATCTGGATCTAGAGTTACAGGCTGTTATGAGCCACCCAGTGTGGGTACTGGGAACCAAATTCAGGTCTTCTGCAAGAGCAGTATGTGTTCTTAACCACTAAGCCATCACTCCAGCCCCTTTCTCTAGCATTGAGAATGCTTGTGGTAATTCTGTTCAGGACAGGTAAGTGTCTCTTGATCTAATCCAGCTGGCTCATCCAGCCTTTTCACAAAGATCTCTAAATTTGAAGTCAGGACTCAGCTGCATTGCTAGCCTGTGCTGAGTGGCCAAGGTGAGCCACTGGCCTCCAGATGCCAGTGTCTCTTTTGTGAGATGAAGGTAGTGTCCTCCTGTTATTATAATGATATAATGATAAAAAAATGACCTGATGTTGCAATATCTGGTGTGAACTTAGCACAGCACAAGAGTTTTATTGTTCGCATTTCTACTTGAAAGTAAGATAAGGTACATTTTAATTAAGCTAGTTTTATTTAGAAACTTAATAAGAATGACTGCACTACACTGTAATTACAGTTAAAGATTCCTGGGACTTGACAGAAAAACAAGACACGGGAAAAGGCTAGCTTGTGTTAACTCTGTGGAGCTGTGACTAAAAGTGAGAAACTTCTCATGAGGAATTTTCCACTAGGGAAGCCTGTTAGTTCATTGCTTTTAAAAAAAAAAGAAAAGAAATGTAGATGGGTTGGAGAGATGGCTCAGAGCTTACGAGTACTGGCTGTTCTTCCAATCTGGGTTCAGTTCCCAGCACCTACATGGCATCTTATAATCTTCCGTAATTCCAGTTTAGGGGATCTGACACCCTCTTCTAACTTCTGTAGGCACCAGGCACACAAATGGTGCATGTTCATAAATGCAGGCAAAACACTCATACACATAAAGAAAGTAAATCTTTAAAGAAATGAATGTAGAGAAAAGGGATCAGAAGGTTGAGGTTGAAAACCTTGCTTGTTTTGGCTCTTTGGTTTTGGATGGCTTGATGACATCCTGTCATTCCTTGTGTGACATGACCCCAGGTTATTTTATTTGGCAGGCAGGCGTAGCAGTTTATTGAGATATAATTCACCTGGCAGATAGTTTACCTGTCGGAAGTGTTTGCTGATTTTTAAAAATCTTGGCGTAGTGGAGCTGTGCAACCATGACAGTAACCACCCCCAAATGAAACAACATGCCCTTTGCCTATGACACCCCTTCCTGCTTCTTTCTCCCCAACACTCTTGGCTTTGATGTCTTAAGTCTGGCTTGTGACATCAGAATGCCTGAGACAGAATAGTTTAAAGGAAGAACAGAGGTGTATTTCTCAATTCTGGAGAGTAGACCTGGAAAGTCAAGGTGCTGGCATCTGGTGTTATCCTTCCTGTCCTCACATGGTGGAAGTCTGTTTGTAGGGAAAGAACGTTGTATACTTGCTTGGCAATGGAGCAAAGGAGAGAGATTCTACTCCACAGGCCCTTGCTTTATCTGTACTAGTTAGTTCACTTATCATGATCTACCCGAGCTCACGGGAGATGTGCTTGTCTTCCTTCGTCCACTCCCTGTCAAGTCTGTGTTTCTGCACTCTGAAGTCCTCATCGTATGTGCCACACAGTCAGAGTCTCTTGGGCCTTGGTCTTCCTCTGAGATTTTATTTTTGTAGTGTACACAGACAAAATAGACAAATGTCTTGTTTGGAAGGGCCTGAGCTAATTAGAAGCAGAGTTGAATTCAGAACTATAGCTGAATCACCAAAGACTAATTTGGTTTTGTGTATGAAGAAATTGCTGAGTGTATAAAGCTATCCCCTAGAGGATGGAGAGATGGCTCAGTGGTTAAGAGCACTGGCTGCTCTTTCAGAGGACCTGGGTTCAAGTCCCAACATCCACATGGTGGCTCACAACCATCTGTAACTCCAGATTCAAGGAGCTCTGATGCCCTTTCTGAGATACATGCCAACAAAACACTCATAAAATAATTTTTACATTATTATTACATAACAAAGTATTATATAAAATAATTTTTGTAATTAAAAATAAACAAAAATTAAGCTATCCATCAATAGGAATTAGCTGCCCAATGAAGAACTTTCTAGAACTACATGCATTCTTGTTGCTTGTGGAGTGGCCTCTTCTTAAGATGTTTACACAATGCTTTTCTGTACCTGGTGAGAATAGTACTCTGAGGGTCTTCCATTTTGGAGACAGGCTGACCCCTACCAAAGCTGACAGTTTTGTGACTTTTCTGTGGGTTGGGTGGTTGCTTTTCAGACAAGGTCTCACCATTGAGCTCAAGCTGGCCTGGAACTCACCATTCTCTTGCCTTTGCTGCTCCAGTTTTGGGGTTACAGGCCTGGGCCACCACATCTGGCTTTTAGGTTTTATGCTAAACTGTTAAAGAATGGCAAGATAAGGTATCTTCCTTCAAAATGTAATCTTCTTTGAGAAATACACTTCTAATATAAAGAAGTCTATTTACCTAGCCTGATAGAAAACTTGAATTTCTAAAAACTTTTAGATATTATTGCTGCCTGGGGGGCCAGCCCCCAACAGCACAGGGCTCAAAGGGAAATCCATAGAGCACATAGTAGACTTTTCTATCTGAGGGGGTTAGGGGAAAGAGACACTCACACTCTGTCTTGATGGTTTCCTTCTTTATTCTCTATTCTTCTCTGTTCTTTCTACTGTATACTTTTTTCCTACAGCTTATATACCCCAACAAAATTTTTCAGGCAATATAGGAATTATAATGTGGTTACATTCTGGTTTTCAAGTGAATGATTACAGTGAATACAAAACAAATAGATAAAAACAGCATGTTTTTTAAAAAATTTATTTATTTATTTTTCTGTTATCAGCTTGATACAGTACAAATTCTTATCCTAATAGTGAAATGTTTCACTGAGGCTTGCCCAGTAACTGAGTAAAACCAAAACTTATTGTAAGCCACTGTCATCCTAGGGTCCCCCCTGCTATGTAGCCTCCCTGGTTCTGTGGGTTGCAGTCTGATTGTTCTTTAACAGCATGTTTTTTATCCCTTACATGATTAAACATTTTAAGTATGACAGGTGAAAAACAAATTAACCCGAAGAACCCACGTACATTCATACCCAAGCAACTTGTTATAGATTAACAGTGTAAGCAAGCAAAGTATTCTTTTACTGGCAGGCTGCATTTTGCAGTTACAAAGAAAGGACCAAACACTTTATTACTTTCTTGAAAGGTAATCTTATAAGGAATCATAAAACTAAACTTTTATACATGAAATACAATTAGTCAGCTTTACTTTAAATCTTGGGCTGCATACCCACTCATCAATAGTTTCTTATATCAGAAGATTGAGGGCAAAAATGGGCACAAAGAATTAATCATCACCTTTGATCATCAACCAAACCTAGCAAGGAAAGTATGTCAGCTAGCAACAATTGGGCCTGCTTTGTATTTTTAACCCTAACCTAATGAATCTATAACTCAGCTATGTGCCCTTGTGAGCTTTAGATTATTTTCTGGGGTTTTTCATCTCAAAGCTATTATCAAAACATCTGATCTAACCTGAAGTTATTTTGAGACTTTGTTTCAGCTAATGATACACTCCAAAACCTGTGAACATACCTCCCAACATTAAGATTAGAAGAATTTAAACTAGCTAGGCTACTGGGACTCAATTGTTTTCCTTAATCATTAACCTAAGTGACAGTCTATATGACTCCTCAGTAGAAACTCATGTGTTCTAGCTGTGTGACACTAACTGGTTTTATTTTTTTATCATCAAAACTCAATTTAAACTAACATTATTATTATCAATTAGATAGTACAGCTTAGGAAGAAATAATCTTCACAATAATCCACAGGTAAAAATGCCCAGGTGAATGGGATGTTTCCATGAGATAAACACACTACATTACAGGCAGTGGGGATCTCCCCACCCTCATTCACACCATGCCAGATACCAAAGAAAGATGGCGGCAGCAAACATGTAAAGACTCAGCAGGAGCAAAAGACATTCTGGAGTCTGTGGTCTCAGGGCCTTGCCTATCTGAGAGTCACCTCAGGGATTTGCCTCCTAGTGGGCTGACACCCTGAACTTCAATTGCCACCTGCTGCTCCTCTGCCATGGCCACTAGCAAGATATATTTATTTTTGTGTGTATGAGTGCTTTGCCAACATATATGTATATATACCATGAGCATGCCTGCTGCCCACAGAGGTCAGAAGTGGGTATCAGATCCTCCTGGAACTGGAGTTACAGATGGTTGTGAGCCTCCATTTAAGTGATAGGAACCAAACCCAGGTCCTCTGCAAGAACTAGTGTTTTTAACCACTGAGCCCCAAACTTGCATTTGTTATACATAGAACACTCTAGTTAACGTTGTAGACTCTCGATTCACCAGATCTTTGTCTAGGTGTCATTTTCATGGCATTGAATATGTGGCCCAGGACAGTAACTTTAGCCTTCCTCAGCGTCCTCATCCGGAATTTGGGGTCAGGAACAGTATTTAGCTGTTAAGATTCTGTAGTTTGTCTCATGCACAGAAGAGCTCATTGAGTGTTTCAGGGTTATAATAATATAGTAATAATTTCATGATAAATAGTAAAATAATGTCCTTATTGTTTCAGGGAGGGAGGAGAGAAGTGGATGGTTATTAACAAGTGTAACCTCATATTTAAATTTCTCTTAGAGGAAACACGAGAATAGAAGAAGCGTGTGAAATGTATACCAGAGCCGCAAATATGTTCAAGATGGCCAAGAATTGGAGTGGTATGTATGACATTTTGTCTACTTCTCAGGCAAACACTTTAAAAAATAATTCTGCAGGACTGTGTGTTCCCTTTAGAGAGTGAGACTGTTGGTCCCAAAGGCAGGCATTGATGCTGAGAGGATCGTCATCTCAGGTAACTAACCTGGTTTCAAGGTTGAGCACTGGGACAATGTCTGCCTCAGTTTCTGCAAGCCACCAGTGCAGTAGGCTTGTGAAATCTGAAAGAAGCATTTCATAGACTAGGAAAGGTAGGTGTGCTTCTTAGAACTGTATTCCAGTAAATACAATGCCGTAATTACAAGAAAACTCATTGAGAACTAACAAGATGGACAGAAATGGCCTTAGCATGGAGTCTGTGGTCTCAGGGCCTTAGCATGGAGTCTTGTGGTCTCAAATAGGCAAGGCCCTCCACAATTCTCTACTCTGAATTCACTGAGAACTGAGTGACAGCGAGAGATCTTTACATAAGCCCCATTAGCTAACACATTCTTTAAAGTAAGTCCTCACACTTAAGATACTTCTCCTTGTCTGAGGGGATTGCCCTTGCTAACACTAATTGGAGAGAAAAATACCTCTTTTTCCCTTGGAGAAAGAGACTTCTATAGCTCAGATGGTGATGGGATCCTTATGCAAGTGAATGTCGAGGCAGCCTTGGGCCAGAGAGAACATGGGTCTCCTGCTTAGCAAACAGCTGCTGTAAGGTGCAAAATGGCTCCTGCCTTTTACTAGCTGCTGTTTCCCATGGCCTTTAAGGCACACACTTTGTTTCAGAGGAGAAGATGCTTTTGAGCTGGGTGGATCTGAACGGCTGCATCTGGCTCTGAAGTTCCTTTATCAGCTTAGTTTGCAGTAAAGCTTTAGTTAAAAGGGAGATAGAAGGGTTTCAGAAGCACTTAGGCCCACATTGTATTTTACTGAAGAACAAATGGAAGACAAAAAGAATCGTCCCAGCAGTCCATCTTTTCCGTTCAAGTCCTGTAATCCCAGATGAAAGGGGATCTTACCCAGGAATGCTTACCTGTTTCCTCTGAAGGTCAGATCCTAGGAAATTCACTTGGAGAGGCCCTTGTCCTCTATGTACCTGTAGAGGCCTTCCATGTACCCTGCTGCTGTCTGTTGCCAGGGTAGTGTCCCCAATGTCCCCAAGTTCTGCCCTTTTTCAGTTTTGTTTTGATAGTGTAACTGACTATGTAGCCCAGGCTGTCCTGGAACTCATTATAAGCCCAGATAGGTCTTGTACTTGGAGCTGTCTTCCTGCCCCATCTCCCAGGTGCTAGGATAGTAGGCATGTGAGCTCCTGGTCAGTCTTACTGAGGCAGAGTAAGTCAAGTCATGTATTGGGTCTGTACACTGACCTTCCAGGACTGTCTTTGTCCTTTTTCTATCTCATCTGCTCATGCTCATGCGCTTGGCTCCCACCCCAGAGTCTTGGCATGTGCTGTTACCTCTGTCTGCATACTCTGCCCTCGTTGGTTGCTTTCTTCAGGTCCATCTTCAAGTGTTACCTTCTCAGCCAGCTCTCTTTTGACTACCCCTTATAAGCAATAATCTACTTCCTGGAAACTCACTACCCTTCCCCACTAGCCACATTACCATCTAGCAAAAACCATGGACGTTACATGGTGTTTTAGTTATTTATATTTACATGTATTTGTCACACAGTGGCCCTCACTAGCATGTTCTTTTGAAGGTCAGAGTGTTTATGTGTTTCCATTATGACTGCATCTCCAGGGTCCACATCGTGTCTCTGATGTGATAGATATTTAGTATATTTACTTGGTAATTGAATAAATAAACACGAGGCCCTGAAATTAAAGCAGTGATGCACCAGTGGTGATCGTGATACCATTTTGTCTTTTATAATTTTAAAAGTTCTTTTATAAGCTAATGCTTTTCAGCCACTATTCGAACTAAGCCTGATAAGTTGGGTAACTTCCCAGCTGCCATTCTTCTGTAAAGACACTTCCAGATCGAGAGAGGCTTGCCCTTGTTAGCAGTGGCCAGAATATGTGTTCCAAGTAATAAAGTGGTGGCATGAAAAGGTAAAACAAGAGAAAAGCAGTTATCTTGGAGACTGAGGTAGTCCAAATGAGCCGGCTGTTGTGCTGTACCCCCAGCAGGAAAAGGATAGGCCATGATTGGTTCTGGGACAGTAACCAATCTGTTACTGGTGGGATTGTAAAGTGAGAAATGTGCTGGAGTACAGGGATGTGCTGGGGAAAGATTTGTCTGCAGCAGTGAAAGTGGCAGCACAGTGCTTCTGGAGCCAGGTCCTCCCCAAACTTCAGGTCAGGTCCAGGTCACTACATTCTTCCAAGGCAGAGCCCATCAAAGCTCCTGATCGCTGGCTTATTCCTGCAGCTAGCTTGGCCTTGGTGTTTCTCAGTCTTTTACCTCTTATGTGGCTCTCCAGTTGCCAGCAGGGATTATTCTGATCCAGCTCTAGCTGTCAGGCTAGTTCTCATTGGTCAGTATCTCCCTAGTCCTTTTCTGCTGCTGGAACAAAATACCTTCATCTGAGTAATTTATAAAATACAGAAATATATTGCTCCCAACTTGGGAAGCAGAAGAGTCCAAGATCCAAGATTGAGGTGCCAGCAGATTCAGCATCTGGTAAGGACTCCTCTCTGTTTCCAAGATGGCATCTTCTTGCTTCATCCCTCAAGGCTACTTGCTCCTTTCAGTATCTTCTATAATAGTACTAATTCCACTCATAAGTGTGAAATACTCATGGATTAACAACTTCGTTAAAGGCCCTAATGGGTAATACTATCACATTGGCTACTGGATTCCAAAATATGAAGAGTGGGGGGCACCAACATTCAGACCACAGCAGCACCCATGTTGTGCTAGGTAGTAAATGTTTCCTAAATTTCATGTGTACTCTTATGTCAGAAACAGAGGCACAGGACAAGAATTGAACTGGAGCAGACTACAGGGTTTGTGTGGCTTCCTTTCCTTGATGATGATCAGAGGTCCACATGGGAGTTAGGTTAATACCTGTGGAGAGGGTGTTTGGGACAAGAGAGACAGCTAAAGCAGAATTAGATGTTTTATTTCTTACAAGGAAATTTGAAGCAAGTGGTTACTTAGCAGAGTGCGCGGCTTTGGGATTGTTGGTACAGCCTCTAGCTGTGAGCAGAATATTCAGAAGAGCTTGAAGGAGGAGAGGCTCACTTAGCTCACAGGTTCAGGGGCTCAGTCTGTGCTTGTTGGGTAGAAGGTCATGGAGTGGGGGTGGTGGTAGAGGGGCTTCTTTGCCTTATTGTGGACCGGAAGTGAGAGCAAGGAAAGGAAGGTGGCCCTGACAAGCCTCAACCCCCAAGCCCAAGAGAAAAGGAAGGAAGGTGACCCTGACAAGCTCCAGCCCTCAGTGACCGTGGTTTTTTGCTTAGGCACACCTCTTGAAGCTTCTAGAACTAACCAAAATAGCACTGCCTGCTAGAGAGCAAGCATTCAGACCATGAGCCTGGGCATGGTAGCACATGCCTGTCTGTAGTCCTAATACTTGGGAGGCTGAGGCGGAAGAGGATTGTGAGTGGAGCTTCAGGGAAGGCAAGATCCTGTCGTAGCAAATCACATCACATCTTCCCCCAAGGATTTTAAACTTTAAGTCAGTGGTTCTCAACCTGTGGGTCACAACTCCTTGGTTGAATGACCCTTTCACAGGGGTCACCTAAGACCATCAGAAAACACAGATGTTTACTTTACTATTCATAACAGTAGCAAAATTACAATTATGAATTAGCAATGAAAATAATTTTATGGTAGGGGTCACCACAGCATGAAGAACTGTATTAAAGGGTCACAGCATTAGGAAGGTTGAGAACCATTGCATTATGGTTTTAATGCCATTCTAAGTCATGATTTTCCTAGTGGAGCAGATTCAACATGACACCTTAGTGACATGGGCACTGGGATTGAGAAATGAGTAGATGAATAGCCTTGGCTTCAGTGCTTGGCCTTTAACTGTGTGAGGCTGACTACCCCTTGTTGGGCTGGTCTTATGGTATGGGATAGAGCTCAAGAGCCCAAATGTTGGCTGTCAGTCATTGAAGGGTGGGCCAGAGAAAGGTGGCGTGGTGTCCAGGATGCCTGGCAGATCCTGTGGAACTAGCAGGGAAAAGTGACCAACACCCAGATGCACTTGTCTTGATGCCCGTGGTCTCTGGCTGCAGGCCTTTTTTAGAGACCTGTACCTTTTCCTGTGGGCCCTGGATTCTTCTTTGGGAAGGCTGTTCCTCACTATTTAACTGTGGCATCTTCTTCAGCTGCAGGAAATGCATTTTGTCAAGCCGCCAAGCTCCACATGCAGCTTCAGAGCAAACATGACTCTGCTACAAGCTTTGTCGATGCTGGAAATGCTTACAAGAAGGCAGACCCTCAAGGTAAGACCACTTGGTGGCTCTGTGTCCCTGGCCAGCAGCATTTCCTATGGTGTTGAAGTTGGTGTGCCATGCTGAGTCCTGGTAATAAGAATTCTTGCATTATGAGATTAAAAGAAATTTTGGTCATTTAATAATGTCTAATCATAAAGACATCAATTTGGAGGAGTTAAGGGACATTTGAGACAGTTTTTCATCATGTAGCTAAAGCTGGCCTCAAACTTGAAGCTCTGTATTCTCCTGCCTCTGCCTCTCATGTGCTGGGATTACAGGCACCTTATCTCATCTTTATGAAATATGTTCTTGAACTAAGAAGGAAATCCTGGTGTTCCCATACTCCTACATGTATTTCATTTAGTGAAGGAATGTAGTATTCAGTGGTTAAAAAGGTGTCTTAGCCACACATACTTTTCATTGTTTTTCTAATTGCTTTTCAAAGCTTTTTTTTTTCTTTTTTTGGAAAGAATATTGGACATTAAATTAGTAAAATTCTTGCAAATGTTACTTCTTTTTGGAGAAGGATTAAACTAAAGTATTAAAATCCCATACATGTACATGGTTATCTTTAAAGTTGTCTTTTATCTAAACTTATAGGAATATAGTCCAAAGAAAAATGTCATCAAGCTTTTTTGTGTAAAGATCAGCCATGTTTTTGTTTCTAGCAGTGAAAGACTGAGCACAGTGGGTGTGAGCAGAATGACTCCACGCTGTAGCATATCACACAGGCTTCCAAGTCTCTGGTTTGGGGCTGGTTGTAGTGACACACACCGATGACCCCAGCACTTGGGAGACTGAGGCTGGAGACTTGGGAGTTGCAGACCAGCCTGGGATATGCGACCCTCCCTCAAAGAAACCAAAGTGCTTGGTTTCATAGAATGTTTGTTGACCTGGTAAATGGTCACATGCTAATTAAATTAAGGAACCAAGTGTTGTGTGGCCACAATTTCTGAAAAAACCCTTGTGTGTGTAGAAACACATCCAAAACTGGAAAGTGCTGAAGTGGGAATGCCGGGCTTGAGTGGCGTTATGGATAGGCTCTCTCTCTTTTCCTGTAATTTGTAAGGTATAGCTGTGAGTGTACATTTTTAAATACACTTTAGGGAGAAGTGGCTTTTCATTTTTGTTGTCCTAGTCACTTCTGTTTCTCCAGTCAAGCTTGGCCTCCTTGCTCCCTTTCAAACTAAAGGCAAACTTGGTGCTGTTGGCTACACTGTTCTGTGAGAGGACATTTTCTGGCTCAGTGTCTTAGGAAACGAATATAACTTATTAGCATTGCCATGTAACGTTTTCCCTTCATTTCATGGAGACGTATACCATTGTAACTTCTATGTAACTTTCAGTATACTAAAAGTTAGGGTCTTTGAGCAGTATACACATTTACATATTTGGCTTAAGAGCTGAACAAGCATTACAAAGTGCTTTTGATGTTGGCTGCATGAAAAGTGGAGACTACTGAAATGGTCTTCCTTGTAAAGAAGTGATATTTGCCAAAATGAATGTAAACACACATGATATTAATGAAGCTAGATTTGCCTTGTATAGTAGCAGGTGTGATTTACCAGTGTGGGTGGCAATCCCTGTGGTCTTGTTTCCTTTGTAATAGAATCTGCCACCTTGATGGATCACCCACCCCCAAGAATTACTGAACCAGTTACTACTGCAGCCACACTGCTTTAAATACCAGCGCAGCTGCTAGGAACAAAGCCACACTAATGAATCTGGACTGTGCATGATTGTGTCTGCTCCCACTAACCAGCCTGCCCACCGCTACCTAAAATTTTACCTCCTTACCATCAGTAGCAGCCAGGAAACAGGCTCAGCTGAACCCTCTTTCACTGAATGAATTTTTCATTGTTTTTCTTAAATGCCCACGCTTCAGAGGCTATCAACTGCTTAAATGCAGCCATCGACATTTACACAGACATGGTAAGACATTGCATTGCTTGAATGGCTGTGGGGTGGAGTCCTTGAGCTGCTTTAGAGTTGTATTTTTTCCTGTTCCCAAACTGATTGGTGATTGTGTAGGTAAAGCAGGTAAGGTGTATGACTCTGCTTTCTCCCCTAGGGAAGGTTTACAATCGCAGCCAAGCACCACATCACGATTGCAGAGATCTATGAGACTGAGCTTGTGGACATTGAGAAGGTAAGCACGGACCACGCCCAGGAGCTTGGTGCGGAAGGTGGGTGCTTGGCCTCTTAGGAATCCACTCCTCCTCTTTCCCAGCTGACTGGAGTGGTCCAGAATCATCCCAGGTACCCTGGAGGAGACCGCCTGGGCCTAGCTGGCTGAGTAGAGACGGTTTACCTGCAGTGCCAGGGTTTCCTGAGCTTCCCTGATGTTGGTGCTGTGAGTCGTGTCAGAATGGTCAAAAGACTTTCCACCTGTCTGCTGCAGTTCTGAGGCTCTGCAGAAGTGGGAGGCAAACTCCGCACCCTCGGTCAGCATCGCTGCTCTCACCCTCAGTCAGCGGTACTCACTCAGCATCACTGCTCTCACCCTCAGTCAGCGGTACTCACTCAGCATCACTGTCTCACCCTCGGTCAGCGGTACTCACTCAGCATCACTGCTCTCATCTGTGGCCTGCTTGCCAGCTTTTCTTCTTGGGTCCCACAGTCATCTCTGAGCCAGTGGGTTTTAGACCAGATTCTCTTCTCAAGTGCCGCCCCTACTCCTGAGTTCTCCAGTCAGCCGGCTTCCTTGCCCTTTCTCTAGGCCCCATCTAGCTTGTGAAGAGGTTTTTGGGTACTGCTCTCACTACTCCCATGTCTCAGCTCTTCTCAGTACCTGTCCCCAGTTTCATGTGATCAGAGCCCCCAGCTGGTCTCTCACATCTGCTCCCTAGTTCCCTCATCCCAGACTCTCAAGCAGCAAAGCAGCCACAGTGAGCCTTGATACTGGTGTGCCAGTCTGTCTCTACGGTCTTTTCTCTATGTCTTTCTGTCTCTCTCTCTCTCTTTCTTTTAAGATTCATTTTAAGCTGTGCTATGGTGGTGCATACCTTTAATCCCAGAACTCTGGAGGTAGAAGCAGGCAGACTTATGAGTTTGAGGCCACCCTGGTCTACAGAGCTAGTTTCTGAGTAGCCAAGGCTACACAGAAACCCTATCTCAAAAAAAAAAACAAAAAACAGAAAATCAGCCGGGCGGTGGTGGCGCACGCCTTTAATCCCAGCACTCGGGAGGCAGAGCCAGGCGGATCTCTGTGAGTTCGAGGCCAGCCTGGGCTACCAAGTGAGTTCCAGGAAAGGCGCAAAGCTACACAGAGAAACCCTGTCTCGAAAAACCAAAAAAAAAAAAAAAAAAACAGAAAATCATTTTATATGTTTGGGTGTTTTGTCTGCATGTGCCCTTGGAGGCCAGAAGCGAGTATTGGATCCCCCGGAACTGAAGTTACAGATGGTTTGAGCCTCCCTGTGGGTGCTGAGAATCAAGCCTCGGTCCTGTGTAAGAAGTCAGTGCTGTTGACACTGACCTATCAGTCCAGCCCCTGTGTACAGCCTTTTGTTGACATACACTTCGGGAACAGCTGGAGACCTGCACTAGGTCTTCATGACCCACTGAGTTGCTCCTCCCACCACACTCCTGTATCTCTGGGACCTCAAATTCATCCTGTTCTTTTGCTCTGTCCCCTTGCTCTAGCCAATGAGACCTCTATCCTGTTCCTTCCCTGTTTCAGAAGAGCTCCTGCCCTGGGACCTGGGTACTAGCTGTTCCCTCTGCCTGCCCAACTCTTCTTCACACATCCACAAGCTGAGTCCTTATGTCCTTTATCACCTTTTCTAGCTCATGGCCCCCTACTTAAGATTATAGACTCCAGGAGTACTTATTCAGATGACACTCCCGCAAATACACACTCCTTACTCAGCCCCACCCGATTTTACAGCCACGTGTCACCTTTTATCCTGTGGCATATGCTTGTTCGTGATTCTGTTGTTTCTGTCTCCTTCCCACCTCTGGTCTTGATGTCACGACTGCCGAGTTCTGCCACTACTTTCTTATAGGCCCCCAAGGCCCAGGACGTAGTAGGTTCTAAACAAATACTTATGAGTAAGCAAGCATACTGTGCCCTCTCTCTCTGACATAGTCAAAAACCCAGGAAGCATCCGAGACTGATATCATACCAACTGCCACAATTGTTGTTTTCTGAACACAGAAATTGCTTTCATTTGCTTCATGCTGTTCACCACCCAACACACACAGACATACACACACACACACACACACACACACACACACACACACACACTGCCCCACTCCCTAGTCTCTTTTCTGGGGAAGCTCTGGTCTTATTCTGAAGAGGGCTATCCCACATGTGTGTGTGTTGGTTGCATGGGGATAATGGGGGTCAGGGGTGGGGAATAAATAGAGTCTGCAGTTTATCTCTGGTGTAGGATTAATAAAAGGATAGGAAGGGACAGGTCTGCTGTGACTGGGGCTTAATTTTCTCAGCAGTTGGGATGGACATTATCTTTTTACTCAGTAGAGTGGGTAGGGTCTGTGGTCCAAGTTTTTCACAGGAGACATGGGTATTTTCTTTGTGCCCTGATCCCTTTGTTTCAGTGGAAACAATGCTAAGCAGTTCAGAGAATAAGAACGATTCAGAGGGGGCAAGAGGATGAGGCCAGCCATCAAATCCAAAGCCTCATGGAGGCCAAGCATGTACTCTACCACTAGGCAGCACCCCAGGCCCAAAGGCTTTTCTCCCCTCAATCATAAATTTGCTGAAATTTTTTGGTCTTTTGTGTTACTTGGAATATTGATAGTGGTCTAGTACGGGCCTTTTATTCATTCACTTCTGGTTACTGAGCACCTGCCATATGGTAGGCATTATCATGGGTTCTGGGATCTATGGTGAACAGCAGTCCTGGGCCTTCCCTCACAGAATTTGCTTCTGTGGGATATGGAACCATGTGTGTGACAGTTCTGAGAAAGATTCCAAGTGATTGTATTGTCCTGCTGCTTTTTGTATGGACTTTTGTATCTGTTAAATGGGGGTCATAGTATACCTAATGTTTTTCTGTCTTGGCACTTTTACCCATTACCTTTAACTGTGTGTAGCTCGCCTGTTTAACCAGTGAAGTTGGTGTCTTATTGAAGAATTGTTCAAGGTGGGTGTTCTTGGGATGCTGCACAGTGCAGAGACTTCAGTAGTGTTGGCTCCATCAGCTGTGCTCACGCTCTGCAGACAGGCAGAGGGCATCCAATGCAGTTCTCAAGCCTGCTTTGTTCTATCTGTTTCCTTATTTCTGTGCCCAGCACCTTTAGTGACTTCCATGTGCCACTGGCTGTGTATTTGGGGCTTATTGGGAAGCTTTGTAAATTAAGGCTCAGGACTGCAAACCTATTGCCTGCTTGTGTACGTCTACAAGCCATCAAAGGTGTTTTACTGCTTAATCATCAGAAGCAAAAACATTTATGGCACATAAAAATCTTGTGAAATTGGGCCAGTGAGGTGGCTCAGGGGGTCAAGCACTTGTGTAAGCCTGAGGAACTAGTCCAATCCCCAGAACCCAGACAACATGGAAAGGGAAAACCAACTCCACAGTGTCCACTGACTTCCACATGCCTCTGACCCTCCCTCCCAAAATAAACTTTTTTAAATGTTTAAGTCATGCAAAACTGAAGTTTTACTGTCAGTCTCAAGACACAGCACTTATTCTTATGTTGTTGGTGGCTGTGCTGTTATAGGATCACTGAGTACTTGCCAGCAGAACTCAATCAGCTCCTAGACCCAAAGTAGAATTTAAGCCACTGCAGAAAATGCTTACCTGATCCATTTTATAGTCTCCTACAGACATACTTGGAGACGAATTTCTAAATGGTCTTATTAAATAAAAAACACAGAGCCAAATATAGGGGTGAAAGCCTTAGAGATCAGGGAAATAGTGAGAGCCACCAACTAACCTTACCTCACCAGCTCTGCAGCTCCCAAAAGTGAGCTGCTTGCTGTCTACCCACGCCTTTATTGCCTTGCTGTTCTGTCCTCTCATTGGTTCTTAGCCCAGCTACCTCACATCCTTGTCACTGCCTGTCTGTACAGACCTCCAGGTCTCTATGGTTTATACTGAGATTAAACGTGTGTGTCACCAAGCTTGGCTCTGTTCCCTAGTGTAGCCTTGAACACACAGAGACCCTGCCTGCCAAGTGATCTGATTAAGGATGTGTGCTACCACTGCCTGACTTTTGTGTTTACTTAAAACGGCTTAAACTTTATTTATTAACATGCAAATAAAATATCACCATATTTCAACACAAATAAAATATCACCACACATACTGATGCCTTTGGGCCGTAGAAGTCATTGATTGGTTTTCCAGGCCCTTACTCGTGTACATGGCCTGTTGCCCCATAACTGCCTGAAAAGCAGCTAATTATTTCCAGATTCATCCTCATTAGGCTTTTTTTTTTTTTTTTTTTTTTTTTTTTTTTTTTTTTTTTTTTTAGACAGGGTTTCTCTGTGTAGCTTTAGCTGTTCTGGAACTCGCTCTGTAGACCAGGATGGCCTCAGACTCATAGAGATCCACCTGCCTCTGCCTCCCAAGTGCTGGCATTAAAGGATTGTGTCACCAACACCTGGCTCTCATCAGACTTAATTAAAGCAATATACACCATCCTGTTCTTGTAGCTGCTTTGCATTACTTTGGGGCTCTGGTAGTGTGTTCTACCCTCTGAAGTGTTGGGGGGTCTGATTTCACTAATACTCTGTCACAGCCTGATGAGGGCTTCTAACTTTCTTCTCTCTCCATTTGACTGTTACTTGGGGTCACATATTTTAAATGGGAGGAACACCTTTGCTCAGGTGATACTTGTGGTAGTAGGAACAGTCAAAGCTGTTGCAGTAAGTTGTAGAGTATGAGTATGCTGGGATAAGAGTTAGTTAGGAAGCAGGTTGATAGAATTCTGCCCTCTTCAGTCTGTGGCTTCCGTCACCCCAGACCTGGCCATGTCTTAGCTCTTAGGAAGTGGAAAAGATGAAGAAAAAGGTACAGAGTAAGATGTTTGGCTATTCACATTCTATCAGAGAACTAGTCATGGGGCCACCCTGACTGCAGTAGAAGCTGGACCGTTTGCCATGTGTGAGGGAAACTATTGGTTACTTTTCTGTTGCTGTACATAAAACAGCATGACCAAAAGCAATTTATGGAACAAAGAACTTATTTTGGTTTAGAGTCCCAGGGGGATAGAGTCCATCATGATAGGGAGGCATGACAGCAAGCCACAGGCATTGTGGCAGATGCAGGAAGCCAGGAAATCACATCTTGCACCTCAAACACAAGGGATTTGTCTTCAGAAGGCTTCAGGGTCACATACTTTACTGTATTTGCTGAGGAGGCCAAGTTCTGAAAGATTTATCACTCGAATAAGCTTCGTTATAGGGGAAAATATCAGTGTACATGTAGTTTTACATTTTTTATTACATTCATTCATTCATTTTGTGTGTGCACATGTGTGCCATGACACGCTTGTGGAGGTCAGGAGGTAACTTGTGGGAATCCCTTTTCTCCTTCCACCATCAGAGTCCAGGAGTCAAACTCGGATTGTCAGGCGTGGCAGCAAGGCGTTTACCTACTGAGTCATCACACCAGCCCCCATGTGTAGTTTTTAAATGCAATTCCGTGAATGAATTGTTTGTAAATTAAATGTATGTACTTTCAGGCTATTGCACATTATGAACAATCTGCTGATTATTACAAAGGAGAAGAGTCCAACAGGTATGTGCTCTTCTTTGTATCAGTCCTGGCTTTTCATAGGTGGTAAAGGATACCTCATCTTTGTCGTCTGAGCATCTCTGCCAGGAGCAAGTGTCCTCAGTTTTGTCACTTACTCTGCACTGTCCCACTTTCAGCTCTGCTAACAAGTGTCTGCTGAAGGTGGCAGCCTACGCTGCACAGCTGGAGCAGTATCAGAAAGCCATCGAGATCTACGAGCAGGTGAGCACCCTGACAAAGTTGTCACTCTGACAAAGTTTGTAACAGTCACTACTACCTACTGCTTAAGACATTCCCATCACTCCCAGAAGAAGCTTGGAAAGACAACCTGCTTTCTATTTCCCTGACTTGCCATTCTTGGCCCTTTCACATATACGGAATACTGCGCTGTCTGTTCTTTTGTGACTGACTTCGTCATTAGTTATAGTGTTTTCAAGGTTCTTCATATTGTAACATGTGTCAATGTTTCATTGCTTTTCATGTTTGAATAATACTTACTCTGTGGCTTATATGTTCATCTGTTGATAAGCATTTGGGGTGCTTCCACTTGGGGTCTATTGAGCATATACTGCTGTGAACATTTGCACTTAACTTCTGTGGGAGCATGTTCTCAGTTGTCTTCGCTGCATACTTGGGGATGGAATAGAGATTGTTGGGCTTTATCGTACACCCAAGCCTACCTTGCTGAGGAACTACCAGACTCTTACAGAGCACTAGATCATTGAGCACAGTGCCCAGGGCTCAGCTTCTCCACATCCTCACTAGCATCTCTCTGTGATCCTTAATGAATATGAAGAGCCATTTCTTCTTTCTCATGATAAGTGATATTAATTTTTGTATGCTCGCTGCCCATTTTCCATCTTTGGTGAAATGTCTGAGTCCTTTGTTGATTTTGAGATTTAGGAGTTCTTTTAATCCTAGATATTAGGATACAGGTTCTTTATGGTCAGTAATAACTTACAAATATTTTTTCCCATTGCATGGATTTTCCTTTTATTCTGTTGTTTATTTGCCTTGGTCTAGATTTTTTTAATCTTTAAAATAAATTTTTACAGTTACTTATTTTGTGTTTATGAGTGCAGAAAGTAGAGTACGGAAAACCTTTTTAGCCAGTGATTTGTTCTAAGAGTCTCAAGATTTTTGCCCTTATGTTCAAGTCTTTGATTCATTCTGAGTTTTGTGTGCATGTTAGACAGGGATCCACCTTCACTCTGACATATAGACATCACTTTACTCATTGCCATTTGTTAAATTCACTCTTCAATGGTCTGGGACCCCTGCCGGAAGTTGTCTTACTAGGACAGGGGCTTCATTCTGGGCTCTGTACTCCATCCATCTGTTTACCTTTATGCCAGTATCACTTTGTTCTGACAACAGTATCTTTACAGGGAAGTTTGAAATCAGAAACTGTCAGTCCTGCAGTTGACTCTTATTTCTCAAGGTTGTCCTCCTTCTGGATCCCTTGAATTAACATAAATTTTGGGATCAGTGGGTCATCCTGCACTGAATCTAGCTTCACTGTTAATAGGACTTGAACTGGGTGTGTAGAGCAATTCAAAGAGCATATTAGTCAAGAGAAATACATAGAGCCAACAGATTGGAGTGCAGGAAGAAAAGAGAGAAGATTTTAGGGGTTCACTCTCAGTGGTAGATGTTGAGATGGCCCAGATCTGTCATGAAAATAGATCATATGAGCTCTACTCTGAATGCAGAAGAGCAATGTCTCAATTCTAGAACTATCAAGTGAGGAAGATCAGCTGTCCTTTTCTTAAACTTAAAAAAAAAAGTATTTTTATTATATTTATTTGTTTATTGGGGCAGGGGGCCAAATGCAAGGACAACTTGCAGAAGTTAGTTCTCTCACCAGGAATCCAGGAAATTAACAGGCTGCCCAGCTTGATGGTAAGCACCTGTGCTCTCTGAGCCACGTCACTAGCCTCTTTGCTTAGCCTTGTAATTGGACCATGCATCAGTAAGTTGGCTGAGGCCCATCTCTGTTGGGGAAGGAAGTCTGCTTTTCTCCTCTGATGATTGAAATACTAATCTTACTCAGAAACATCCAGAATGATATTTAGCCAGTATCTGGGCACCCATGATCTACTCGTGTTGACACATAGGATTAATCCTCAGAGAATATTGCCATTTATGAATATTTAGACTTATGATCTAAACACTTAGTTTTTGTGTTGCTGCAATTAAATGCCTGACAAAAGTAATTTAAAGACAGAAAGGTTTAGCCAGGCAGTGGTGGCACATGCCTTTTAGTCCCAGCACTTGGGAGGCAAAGGCAGGCGGCTCTCTGTGAGTTTGAGGCCAGCCTGGTCTACAGAGTGAGTTCCTGAACAGCCAGGTTACACAGAAAAACCCTATCTTGAAAAACCAAAACCAAAAGAGGGGTATATTTTGGCTTACAAGAGTATAAGTCCTTTATGGTCAGAACTCACAGCAGCAGGAATATGAGGTAGCTGGTCACATGGCAGTCACAGTCAGGAGGCAGAGAGTGATGAAGGCTGATTGATAGTCAGCTTCCTTCTTCCTCTTTATGTGTGGCACAGTTAGGATGGGTATACCCACCTCAGTTCACCTAGTTTAGAATCTCTCATGGACATGCTCAGAGGCTAACCTAATTTAGGTAATCTATCACACGAAGCCCAAGGGCTTGCCTCCTAGGTAACTATGGATCCTGTCAAGTTGAAGATCATATTTTATTTATTTATCTACTTTATATATATGAATGTTTTGCACACCTATATGTATGTGCACCATATGCATGTATTGTACTTGGTGCTTGTGGAAGAGGGTATAGGATCCTCTGGAACTGGAGTTACAGATGGTTGTGAGCTGCCATGTGGGTGTTGAGACTTGAACTCGGGTCCTCTGTAAGAGCAACAAGTGTTCTAAACTGCTGAGCTGTTGTTCTAGTCCCAAGTTGGCAGTCATATTAACCATCACATTATTCATACAGGATGTTTTCCACATACTTACATCTTTTTTGCTTGTTCAGTTGTGTTTTGTTGTTAAATATGTTCCTAAGTATCTTGTTCTTCTTAACATTACTGCAAATGTGGTTGCCTTAGTTTCCTCCTCAGGTTGTAGACTGTTGTTTTGCTTCTTTATATATTTTCTATGTTGCCACCTTGCTGTGCCCATTTATTAGGTCTAATGATTTTGTAGATTTCATAGAACCTTTATATACAAGATGTTTAGGTTTTCCTCCCCAGTCTGAATGTCTTTTAACATCACTTTTTTGTCAGTTCACTTACTCTGATTGGAACCTCCATTACAGTATTTAATATAGAAATGGTGAACACAGGCATCCTCGTCTTTCTTGGTCCTAATTGCAGAGGAAAAGCTTTCAGTCTCTCACCACTAAGTGGGCTGCCAGGGGGATGATCTTAATGCTTTTTGTCAATTTGAGGAAGTGCTTGTCTCTTCCTTTTTTAATTCAGTGCTTGTTCCATCAAAGGATGTTGGATTTTGTTAGATCCTTTCGTGCATGTGTTTAAAAGAAAGCTTACAGTTTTTGTCCTCTATTACATTAATACAGTGTGTGTTAAGTCAGTCATACATTCTTGGATAAATCTTACCTGATCATCAGAAGTTTCAGGACCTCCAAACATGCACTGATGATTTACTGAAGGGACTCAGAACCCACTAACACTCATGGCTGCCATTTACCACATTTGAGGACAAAGGTGAAATCAGCAGATGCTTGGACATAAGGCAGCCTGAGAGAGGCCACGTCAGAGTGCCCTGTTGTCCTCTCCACTTCCTTTTCCAGAGGAATGGAAATGTGTGTTGGCTCTTGCCAGCCAGGGAAGTTCACCTGAACCCAATGATTATAGATGGTTATGAGCCACCGTGTGGGTGCTGCACATCAAACCCAAGACCTCTGGAAGAGCAGCCAGAGCTCTTAACTGCAATGCAGCTCCAGCCCCATGTTTTTTCAAAGTATTTATGATGGTTGATTTTAATATTTAAACACTGGGTAGAATTTAATGATTTTTTCTTGTGTTTTTGTATTTTCATTTTTATGTATTTCTGTGTATTCTTCAGATCTCTCTGTCTCTGTCTTTCCTGGATATTTGAGATGGAAGCTTAGTTGCTTACTAATTTTCCTGTGTGGTATCTGTGTTTCTACTGATAGTGGTTGTCTGTAAGATGAATTGCTAAATGGTCTTATTAATAAAAAAACCTGGATCCAGATATTGGGGTGAAAACTGAGAGATCAGAGAAGCAGAAAGAAGCCAGCCTCGTTCTTTTTTTTTTTTTTTTTCATTTATTATGTATACAATGTTCTGCCTGCGTGTACACCTGCAGGCCAGAAGAGGGAACCAGATCTCATTATTGATGGTTGTGAGCCACCATATGGTTGCTGGGAATTGAACTCAGGACCTCAGGAAGAACAGCCAGTGCTCTTAACCTCTGAGCCATCTTTCCAGCCCTATTTATTTATTTTTCTATTATCAGCTTGATACAGTATAAATTCTTATCCCAATAGTGATAGTGAAATGTTTCATCGAGGCTTGCCCAGTAATTGAGTAAAACCAAAACTTATTATAAGCCACAGTCATCCTAGTGTCCCCCCTGCTATATAGCCTCTCTTGTTCTGTGGGTTGCAGTCTGATTGTTCTTTGCTTTATATCTAGTATCCACTTATGAGTGAGTACATACCATGTTTGTCCTTCTGGGTTTGGGTTACCTCACTCAGGATGATATTTTCTAGTTCCATCCATTTGCCTGCAAATCATGCTGTCATTGTTTTTCTCTGCTGTGTAGTACTCCATTGTGTATATGTACCACATTTTCTTAATCCATTCTTCAGTTGATGGGCATCTAGGTTGTTTCCAGGTTCTGGCTATTATGAATAGTGCTGCTGTGAACATAGTTGAGCATGTATCTTTGTGGTATGATTGAGCATTCCTTGGGTATATGCCCAAGAGTGGTATGGTCAGCCACATTCTTACTGCTAGGAAATCCTCAGCCAAGAGAGAGCTACTTCCTGTATACTCACGCTTTTATACCTTTCTGTGCCCTGCCATCTTACTTCCTCTCTCCCCCCAGCTACATCACTTTCCTCTTTCCGCCCAGCTCTGTCACTTCCTATCTGTCTGTTCAGACCTCCAGACCTCTATGGTTAACTAGTGCTGGGATTAAAGGTGTGTGCCACCACGCCTGACCTCTATGTCTAATTTGGTGGCTGGCTCTGTTCTCTGATCCCC